AAAGGTGTAACCGGCGCCCGCGTGACTGAATACCCATTCCTGATTAGTTGAGTGAATATCACGTGTTAAGATACTTATCTCTGATTGGTTGGTTTTGGTACCACGTGACTAAACAGTGTGCTCTGATTGGGTAATATTGGATATTTATACTGTAACTGAGGTGGTGGTTGTGATTACTCTTGTTAGTATGTGGTCCTGTTTGTTGTGTAAAACTTGAGCTTCTTTAGTTGGTTGGGTTTTTCATCTTGGTCGTGATTAATTGGTTAAATATGAACATGTTGATGATTTAATCTTACTTCAAATCAAGGCCAACTTTTTTGTTTATTTTCGATCTTATCTCGGGCGTGGTTAGATGATAGAATGTTGTTAATACTAATTGCTCAAATTATTTCATTTTAATATCACGTGTTCCTAAGTACAGACATACAATTTTATCATGGTGCGATCGTAAGCTGATCTCCATACATTAGTTGCAACCTCTTGGCACAGATATGTGAGCAAAAGAGCTCTAACAATACCATATTAGGAGATGTTGGCCTTATCAATGCAATTATTTTGGAGATAAGTTAACGTTGAGTCACTGCGAAGGAATATAATCCATCGCCACGTGATCAATGTACAGTCCTCGCGTCTCACATGTTGCCATGACGACCCACGAGCCATACCACGTGACCTTATAACTATACTTTGAGTACATCCTACACTTTACTTTATACCAATCGTCACCTTTCAACAACACTCGTTATCACGTGTCACATATACCACTCTGCTATTGGTGGAGGGAAGCCGTACTGTGTTCTGATTGGAGGATAGAAAAAGCCAAAGTTTTATGATTTGACTGCTGCTCGCGTTACACAATAAGAGCTCCAGTCGTGGGTGTTTACCTTGTCAAGTAGTCACAACCGTTACTCTTCTCTCCTGTCACCCTTGTTACGCATATCTGTTACGCCTGCTTGTAACACCTACTCGTAGCACCTGCTTGTTACGCCTCCTGCTCCCCTACCCTCTAACTTCTCTGTCTGCTCCCTCGCTCGTAACTCACGATGAAGCTGACCGGAGTTCTCCGCAACATTAACGCTCGTCCCCCCGGTATTCCCACAATCCTCGCCACCACGCAAGAAGATGAAGATGACCACTACGCTGTACGCCGCTCCTCCCGCAGTGCCAGCATGTCCACTAACCGGCTAGTTGCACGGCGGCACATGTCCGCTAGTAAGCAGTCTCTTAAAGCGGATAAAAGTCCAGAAAGGAGTGGGAATAGTCTAGTTGCGCGGCGTCATATGTCAACCAGTAAGCAGTCCCTTAAAGCGGATAGTAGTCCGGAGAGAAGTGGGAATAGTCCTTGGATCAGGAAGTTTAGTCTGAGACGGAGTTTGAAGCACAGGACTAAATCTAGTGAAAATCTCGCTGCTAAAGAGGTAGGCTGCAATTTATAATATGGAGTTTAAAATATATTATATAATTCGTAAATATATTAATATTATTAATTCGCCGTCTAGAAACGTTACGATTATAATATGGAGTCACTGTAGTACATATTATTAATATTATATAGTAGAGCTATTAATCATTTTTAAGGTGGATTCAAATATATCGGTTACCAATTCCCAGATTCTATATTAATTTGCCTTAAGTTTTCGATTCAGACACCCTCAATCAGTTCACAATTAACCCGTCTTCACCTTGTAAACGATAAAGGTATATTTAACCATTTAAAAAGTCAAATTACAGCAGGAGAGTTTCAATCAATTTAAGTAGAAAAATCCTGACCTTAACGTTCTGACTAGTGACTTCTGACAGTGTTGAAATTTAAAAATACTGAACTCGAGTAAACCTGGAAGGGTGGTGTTAACAAGGAAAGCCATAGTGAACAGTGGACACACGGTGTTCACTTTAACACACAGCAGCTTTTTAGAAAATACAAGGCTTTTTACTTTTTAGAAAATATTTCTCTTTTACTTTCAGTAAAAATACACGCTTAACCATAAATAGAATCTACTATCCCCGCACACCCCAAACAAACTTTCCTCCCTTAACGTTCTGGCCTTTATTTGATGATTCAACACTGAACTCATCGCTGCAAAGGTGTTTAACTGTGTCACTAGTAACATCACACAGCGTCCGTGCTATCATCACTCTATATATACACACAAAGTAAGCCGGCTAACTTTAGCCGGACTATCCTGCGCTACCTTGTCACAGTGTTTGCAGATGTTAGTTGTTACTCAACACAGTGCACTAAATACACAGTGCATTGTAAAATTAGGAACTGAGAAAGTAATGTAAACTGTAAAATTACTTGAACTAATTAAGTAAAAACTAAGAACAAGTGTCCCACAAAACATCGTGTGATTGGACTATTGGTGTAATTGGTGTCTATTACCTGTCCAGGTTGTTTGACATGTAGGGTACATTGGCAGACAGCTCTGAGAAATGAGAAAGTACTATTTTGGGAACCGTGAGAATTGAGAAAGTTGTGAGAACATTTCGAGTTGTCTGGGGTTTCTGTTTCGACCAGTCAGAATCTCGTGCTACTAGAATCAGTCTTTCAGAACGCTCTATTTTGTCCCTTGTTTCTAGAATTAACCAATCAGAACACTGTATTTAGTCCCTTGCTACGAAGATCGACCAATAACATTCCGGATTCTTCCAGGCTTATTGCCAATAACTTGACACGAACTTCAGCTCTCAAAGTCAATAACTTACAATCGCATCCAGTCATACCATCTCGTACATTCGCCAATCACAGCGCTCCATTGCTCATGTTAGCCAATCACAGCGCTCCATTTGCTCATGTTAACAGTGAACAGTGATGAAGTGTGTGTGTGCTGACGTAGGAGCAAGTCTGTTATAGATAAGACATGTCGACCACACCCCTTACAATATCCTTTATTTGCATTTTGCTTACATTATTTTAACGTGTGTTCGTTTATCTAGCTATTTCTAGCTTTAATCATATTGATGTTTAACGTTTTTGCTGTTCCCTGAGCTGATGCGAGGAATCTGACAAATTGAGAAGTTGTCAGTTGGTGTAGTAAACATTTTATCTGTCCAAATTGCTCGGCCAACAATCCTGTACATTCCACATTCCACGATCGATCCTCCTAATTCTCTGTACCTGACTTGCTAAACTTTAAATTATTTGCATTTGGTTGGAGGTTGGTACGATTTGTTTTTACGCGCGTGCGTTCAGTGATTGCTAATTTGATTGATCTAAAGTTTGATTGTTTAATCACTGTCACGTGCTAAAACAAACTTGGCACGATGCCACACACATATCTCCTTCCCTGCTTACACCACTACATCTGTAATCATTTTGACGCATACTATTTTGCAACTTTGCTGAATTTATAAGGATACCGCCAAACTAAATACGTTGCCGGGAATATCGAGTTACATGTAGATACTGGTATAAATACACCATTTAATACTCGGCAATGTTCTGAAGTGCCAAGGATTAAATGTTGCCGCCGTCTGGATAATTATATCGGTTTAGTATATTTAGTTACCTGTTTTGGAGTGGGTGTTTTGATATCGTGTTTCGGTATTTCCATGAATATATTTAATTTGTTCAGCAGGCTCTTTAAATTTTCGTAGCTGTTTATTTTTTGACAAATCTTGAAAGATTTGTGACCAATAGTTTAAATGGCAGTAAACATAACAGGTTAAATTTCTAATATGTCCTGAAATGGTTAAAAAGCTTACATTGTCACATTGAATAACCGACATATTGTTCGAAGTTTAATGCGGTTCAACTCTGCATGTTAAGTTACACTAACTTTAGACAAGGGCACACACTGTGGTCCCTGTCTATAGCGTGAACTTGTAACTGCCTCCTTCATTAATCGTCTGTTTTCGTGTTTTCTTTTGCCGTTTACAGTCTGCTCGTTTTTGGAATCGTTTTTCAGATCGTTCTTAGCATTGTTTTTCGAAATTAGAGATAACCTCTTTTTTAACAGTTCCAATATTTTACATTGTTTATTTTGCACCTCTCACTAATACTCAAAAAGTCATCGAACTTGTATAACGTGACTGACGTTCTAACCTCTTTTCTAGCAATATCAGACAACTCTCCACAGTGACACCACAGTGACACCACCCATCACCACGATGCAGCTACCCTCTATAATAAAGAGCATATACCGTCCGGGTGAGAAGTCCCCCAATGGGATAAAGTCCCCCAACAGTTTCCGTTCAGCTACCTTGCGACTGAACAGGAACAGAGCCACCTCCCTCAAGATCCACCCCGGACACCACAGTAACAGTAACCTCATGTCCCCCACCTCCCCTCTTCTACCAGAGAACAGAGTGTTGGACAGTCTGGCTGTGTCTCCCAGGGCTCCTAGGAGGTGGAACTCCCTCAGAAGGAACAGAAAGAAGAGCCCTCTTCCTGAGAGAAAGGTGCACTTTTTCAGCTGCTTTTAACTTTGGTATACAATTTCTAAGGGCCAGTTTTCAACGGCCTAACAAATTATTTTTGTTAATCGTCCGCGCTTCTAATAGCGATATCTGTGCTGTCTTTTTAAAGTTATGAATTACGGAATCTAGGTGGAGCTGTGAATTCTGCTTACTCCACAGTCAGTACATTATAATAGGAAGCCCATGTTACTCTACAAATTGACATGTTACTCCTGTATGTGACTGTACATGTCACCGTGTGCAAGTCTTGTTATGGATGCCACGTCATTTTCATTAGTAGCTGTCAAATTCTCTACCCAAAGTACCTGTAACAGTTTAACGATGAGATGCTACACTGTTAAAGTAGTGTGAATTACAGTAAAAGCTATGAGAATAAGTGTTACTGGTACAGCTTTGGTCGCTTGTAAATTTGTTATGAAAATGTTTCTCAATTCAGTTGACTTTTTAACTTTATAAGACTTCCTTGACACATTTTTCTCCCAAATAAATCATACCCCTCGCTTACACCCTAATGAATTATCACACCCCAAAAACTGAACATCCCCCCGACAAACTAAAATCTAACACCCTATCCTCCGCAGCAACTCCCGTTCAAGAAGAGCATGTTCGGAGCGACGCTAGAGGAGGTGATGGAGCTCCAGAAGGAAACCCACCCTGACCGTCATCTACCCTGGGTGCTAACTCTTCTAGCTGGCAAAGTTATTGAGTATGGTGGCTTCTCCACTGAGGGGATCTTCAGGTAACTTATTATCAGTTCGTAGATAATAATATATATTAGTAATGTTAGTAATATTTTACGTTATCAGCTCTTAATTTTGGTATGCGATAAAAAGAGCTGTAGGTGAGCTGATACATCCAGCATAACATTCTGATTTTTCATCAAGATTTTTAAATTATTTGCCAAGTTTATCATCTTGTTATTAGATTCAATAAATTGATTAATAAATAATTAGTTAATTAATTAATTAACCTTCTAACCCTCAGAGTGCCAGGAGATATAGACAAGGTGTGTTCTCTGAAAGTATCATTAGACAACGGAGAGTACCTGGCAGAGTTCCCCACTACTGATGCCCCTGTGTGTGCCTCACTTCTCAAGGAGTGGACCAGGTAATATTTAGTTACAGCTTATCAGATAAAATTGTTAAATTATCTTTTATTTTGTTCACAATTCCTTTTTTAAGTCAATTAATTAAAAAATATACAAAAATGTAAGGATTAAAAAATTGATAAATAGCAAAGAGTTTAATAACTAACCCTGATCCCTATTCAGAGAGCTATACGACCCCGCAATTTGCCACGACACCTACCAAAAGTGTTTAGATAACTGTGAAAATGCGACCTTTTGCTCCACTATAGTTTCAGAGCTGCCTGCCATTAACAGACTCGTCGTCACGTTCGTCATCAGGTTCCTTCAGGTACGGTCACGTCATATTACAGTCAATGATATTACAGTCAATGTAGGCAGGAAGATACCCTCAAAGTTTTAAAAACCGTTGACTCTTTTTTAATCGTTTTGAGAGTTTCGATGATTTGAAAGTCAGTTTACAATTTTATTAGGGACAAAGTTTAATTCCATTCGGATTGAGAAAGTAACTTATAAAAATGTATTTGAACTTCGTGTTCGGGTGAACGAAATCACATGAATAAGTATTAATTCTTTAATTGCATAAATAATTCTTAACAAAATCTATTTATCTTGCAGGGTTTCCTAACGGAGGAGACGATAAAGAAGACCAAGATGACAGCAGACAACCTGGCCATGGTGTTTGCCCCTAACCTACTCCGGTGCCCCAGCACGGACCTCCAGGTTGCCATGGACAACTCCAAGTGGGAGATGACTTTTGTCAGGACTCTAATAAACCATTTAGATACCAGTTATATGGAGGGAGTTGTGTGATATTGAGGAGACTTACATTCCTCTCTCAGAGAGCTGGCAGCTAGTTACACATTTCTCACACGTGCAGTTCCACGTGTAGTTTCATAGAACACGTGGACTGCCACGCGCGGCACGTGCTTGTGCGCGCACCACACCGTGAAACCATCAAACACCGTGTGTACGACACGCAGACACAAAAGTTCAGTTTTTAGTTTGATTTGGCGTTTTTTTGACGATCAGCATGTTTCATATTATGTGCATATTAATAGCATATTATGTTCTATCAAATACTTGACGTTCCTCATGTTTTTACAACTACAAGTCTTCCACTTAATCCCTGCTAACATGAGATTTTAGGAAATATTTGAAAACCTGTGGCCACAAAAGGGGTCCGTTTAAATTCCAAAAAGCAAATCACAATTAATTAGACTTTAAGTAGGAAATTAATAGCTTGATGTAACAATTTTTAAGAGAGCTAGTATAAAACTAGATCTAGAAAACCAGATATAACATCTTTTAATTTTGTTTTTTGCATCGAATGTGGCTGATGATTATAAGTAAGTTTGTATTATGTTATGTTGCTTTTTATGATTGTGGTTGTACTATTTTTAGGGTCTTGAACTGTGCTCAATGCCCTTCACTCGATGATTTAAAATCTAAGATATCGATTAAAATGTATCAGGTGAAGGGATGCTGGATATATCTTATTTTTAGGAGTACATAAGCAGAGATAAGATCTCAGTTTGGTTAGATTAATACCTTTTTCGTTAAGAATTGTCTGTTTCAATCATGACTCGTTAGCACACGATGCTTCTTGAAAATGAGTGGTGGATGTCTCATTTCCTATCTGTGCAGCACGTGGTAAAACTTTGTCTATCACATGGTAGAATACTAAACAGAGGCAGTTAATAATGACAACGTTAAACGGTGGTTACTTGTACCGTTTTCAGCTCGTTTCTGGATTGCTTTTACAAATTTGTTAGAGTCGTTACTATATATTTCTGATATTTACTGATTTTGTATTGTAATTTTCACGAAATGAAAGGTACGAATTGTTAATTCATTTTAGAACATGTTTTTTTTCTTCTTGCTAGGCTTTGGCCGGGGATTCTTATAAAAAATACAGTCATGCAAAATTTTATTTGGGCACTTATCAGTGGCGTAACGGTGCATGTTATTGTTGGCGCCCCCGCCGAAAAAGCGCCCCCTCCCCTTTTAGCGCCTCTCCCTAAAATTAGACAAATTGGGTGATTTTATAGGATACGCCAGCAAAATCTCTAAAAAATGTGTTTCTAAAGCAAAACGGTATTTTGCTTGAAAAATGGCGAGCTGGAGGCTAGATTAACGAAAATTCTAATCTGAGGTATCACATATCAGAGATTCTTCAACCAATGAGTTATGTCCAATTTAAGGATAAGACTGGATCTGGAAAAATGGCGAACTAAAGGCCAGTCTATTGTCTTACAGGTTCTAATCAGACGTATCAGAGCTACTTCAGCTAGTGAGTTATGTCTAATTGAAGGTCAAGACTGGATCTGGAGGAGTCATTTTAGGGCCTACGAAATATTTTCCACAGGTATTTTGTCGAGCTGAATATATTACGCCCTTTGAACATCCTCTGTTTGCTTGGATCTCAAAAATGGCGAGCTGGAAGCCAGTCTTACAGGTTCTAATCGGACGTATCAGAGCTACTTCAGCTAGTGAGTTATGTCTAATTGAAGGTCAAGACTGGATCTGGAGGAGTCATTTTAGGGCCTACGAAATATTTTCCACAGGTATTTTGTCGAGCTGAATATATTACGCCCTTTGAACATCCTCTGTTTGCTTGGATCTCAAAAATGGCGAGCTGGAAGCCAGTCTTACAGGTTCTAATCGGACGTATCAGAGCTACTTCAGCTAGTGAGTTATGTCTAATTGAAGGTCAAGACTGGATCTGGAGGAGTCATTTTAGGGCCTACGAAATATTTTCCACAGGTATTTTGTCGAGCTGAATATATTACGCCCTTTGAACATCCTCTGTTTGCTTGGATCTCAAAAATGGCGAGCTGGAGGCCAGTCTTACAGGTTCTAATCGGACGTATCAGAGCTACTTCAGCTAGTGAGTTATGTCTAATTGAAGGTCAATACTGGATCTGGAGAAGTCATTTTAGGGCCTACGAAATATTTTCCACAGGTATTTTGTCGAGCTAAATATATTACGCCCTTTGAGTTTGAACGTCCTCTATTTGCTTGGATCTCAAAAATGGCGAGCTGGAGGCCAGTCTTACAGGTTCTAATCGGACGTATCAGAGCTACTTCAGCTAGTGAGTTATGTCTAATTGAAGGTCAATACTGGATCTGGAGGAGTCATTTTAGGGCTTTCGAAATATTTTCCACAGGTATTTTAACCACCTGACTGATTCGCTTACAATCTGTTCATGGGTAAATTATTAAATAGATTAAGTGAGCACAAAGGTATTGACCAGTACTGGTTGAGTTTTGTGGATATTAATAACAATGCCGACATCATCATATCTGACACAGCCAAAACCTCTTCGAGACATCCTACACAGCACCAGCCTTCTGAACAGCTACACTGCTATAGGGTAGTGACACCACATCTGTGTGTCGTGGTCTATTTCCAAAAGATAAAAGCTGGTGTTCTACGATGGAAATAGGGTCAGAAACAACGCCAAGTGGAAGGAAACTAGGAGATCCTGGGGAAATCCTGCTGGGTCAGTACCACTACCATGATATTGATAGCAGGTACGGTGGAGCCGGAGGGGGTTAGGTACTGCAAAGCAGCCTCTATTTTACCATCGCGATACAGGTGATGGTATTGATTTAGCTCCCTGCGGTGAGCCACCGCTTCCCTCAATTGCCATGTTTGATGCTTTCTCATCAACTTTTAGTGTTCTACTTCATTACATGCCAGTTCGTGTCGAAGCGGCGAAGCGGCGAAGTCCTCCAAATATTGATCGTATGCAATTATTACTTTTTATGTTGAAATTGGTTGCTAAGCTGTATTAGTGTATGTGTTGTGTGTAGCACAGTATAGGTTGTACCTAGCTGCTCGTCTTAGTGGCAAAACAAATATATACGTACTGCACAATTGCAATTGCAAATCCAGAATCAAGAATTATCGCTATAAATTGTTACATTTCTTTGCCATATTTTATCATTTGTGGCTATGAAGTATGAGTATTGACTATATAAAAATCCAGAGATAATCCCACTCCCTCCCTCCTCTATATAATAGACTATAAATCTCTCTTTTGACTTTTAATCCTTTTCTAATTTCTATATCTCGCTCTTTACTGAACCGTCTGGTGATCTTACTGCAGTTTGCTTTAATCGAATTAAAAAGAGCACACTCGACATCTACTCCACCAAGTTTTACAAACAGGATTTACCCAACACAATGGGCATGCCTACGGAGGAACAGCTGGAGATTCACGCTAACAAAGTTAAAGTGGCATTCTAAGAGTGGGCCGTGACATGCTAACTAGGAAAGTAGTAACTACTGCCCGGATCCTTTGTAAGGAGATTGTCACTCTGTCAGAAGAGCCGCGCGTCACGTGCCCCGACAGATGTCTCTTTAACTCAGCTTCAAACCCTTATTCTTAGCTTCATCTCCTGCCTTGCTATCTACGTTTTGCAATCATGATGAGAGCTGTAGCAGTGTGTTTTCTACTCTTCATCCAGGTAAGTTTCTTAAGGTATATCTAGCATGGACTTATATGGTACCGAATACTGATCACTACCGACTCACTTGAATGTGTGCTCATCGGCTAAAAAGGAAGGAGTCCGGTCAAGCCCAATGGAAACTTTTTTTGCCAGAGAGCTCAATTAGATAATTTTTCTGTGTACGGGTATTTGCCTCACAGAATGGCCAAAAAAAAGGAAGGTCTCTCAAAGTCACAAAACACACTTTATTCCAGTTTTTATCTCATAAGAAGCTAAGTTGACACTCATATTTTTCTTCCCGGGGGTTCATTTAATCTCATAACCATTTTTTCTTTGAGAAAAATTGGCCGGAAAATCTTCCTCCAAAAAAACATGCCTCACAGAATGGCCAAATCTGAATTTCTATAATCTTGTTGATGGAGATACTTTTTAAATTTCTATCACCACACGTTCTTAGAAAACCTATTAAGGAATGGGGTAATAACCTAAAACTCACGAAAAAACTGAGCTGTGAAAAATTATTTCACAAAAAAGAAAAAATGCCTGACAAAATGGCAAAAAAAAAAGAAAACGAGAAAATTTTATTTTTCTAAAACCTTTGGCTCTTGTTTCAGGCATGCTGCTGGTATTAATATGCCTTGTTAACACCCCCATATAGGTGAAATTTCTTAGAACTGAATAAAAAGGGCATAATTTCCTACACCAAAAATGGCCATTTTGTGTGGCGTTGTTCATATTCCCTGATTTCATGATTTATAATACCTTCATTCGGCTGTAAAAACACTCCATCTGGGGTGTTATTGTATGATAAATAGCTTGTGAATACTTTAGACTTATGGTTTCATTGAATAAAAGGAGTTTTAAATTTTTGCCATTTTGTGAGGCATATTTTGGCCATTTTGTGAGGTGTTTAGCCATTTTAACATTTTGTTTCTTCCTAAATTGAACAATGTTCGTTTTGTTTGATGAATACTATTCTTTAAACATCTTCTGTCATACTGGTGCCAGAAGTTCTCACCAAAATGCAAACTTAGTTCAAAAATTTGAAAACAAATTTTGTGAGGCATATTTTGGCCATTTTGTGAGGCGTGTAGCCATTTTAGCATTTTTTTCTTCCTATATTGAACAATGTTCGTTCTGTTTGATGAATACTATTCTTTGAACATCTTCTGTCATACTGGTGTCAGAAGTTCTCACCAAAATGTAAACTTAGTTCAAAAATTTGAAAACAAATTTTTCGGTGCTCAAAATTTCTACATAAACAGTCATATTTATGCCAGAAAATGTGGTCCTAGTTAATGATTTCACCACAGGAAGTGTTGCCAGAAGACTTTTGTTTCATATGGTATCCACAAAACCTACCAGTCTTTTATAAAAAATTAGTTACAAAAACATTTACAAATTTGGCCATTCTGTGAGGCTAGCCATTCTGTGAGGCATTTACCCGTACGGTTATAGCTAGTTAGTGAATTAGTAAAAGTCAGGGTTGGGTATATTCACCATTATACTGCAAAGTGCAAGTCAATATTTATGGCTACAAAATTGGGAACACAACGTTTTGACCGGAGGATTAAATTATTGATAACCTTACCTGGGTAGCATAGTGTTCAACCGATATCTTCGCACATGTGTATAACGTTTGGCAGCGTGATTAACAGGTTAAAGGATTAGGGATAGTTCACAAAATGACATAGGACGTCAGTAACAGTCACAAGTGTACAAAATTATTAATTGATATTTTTTGAAGACATTAATGAACGTATTCAGACACAGAAAGTTTAAAGTCAATGTTTAACTTAAATACAAAGGTTGAATACTGATATTGAATACTGTTGTTGAATACTGATGTTGAGTCACATGATGTTGAGTACAGATGTTGAGTAAAGATGTTGAATACTGATGTTGAATACTGATGTTGAATACTGATGTTGAGTAATGATGTTGAGAACAGATGTTGAATACTGATGTTGAGTACTGATGTTGAATAAATTCCACACAGGCTACTGGAAATCGAACCACGTACGATGATATTATGGATCTCCAAGACGGTGACGATTGCCCCAAAGGTATGCCCATTTATTTTGTTTTATTTTTTCTAATTTTTAAGTTGATAAATGGACAAAAAAGTCGAGTAATCAAAATGATTTTGGTTATTTATCAATAAATGTTTTGGACGTTGTTAATTATTTATTTGCTTTTTTCATTGTTAGTAAATTAATTAGTTGGTCAGCATTTTGACCAATAAAATGCTTGTCGCTTTTATTTTTGTTAATTTTAGTGATTTGAAAGTGTGATTATAAAATTAAAAGGAGAAAAAAGAACACGAAATTGAACTATAATTATCGAATAGAAGTCAAAACAAACAATATAATATTCATTCACGAACTCATCCTTGTGGGGCTTTTCCGTACCTAGGTTTCGGGTTCGGGCCAGGATTTGCAACTCCGCCACCTCCGTATCCTCCGGGACCACCGCCACCTCCGTATCCTCCGGGACCACCGCCGTTAGGATTCCAGCCGCTGTTAGCTGAAGGCCAGCCACCGTTCCCACCAGGATTGTAGCCAGAGTATCCACCACTGCCTTGGTAGCCACCTTGAGATTTAACCACCACGATCTGTTTCCCCGAGTAATATTGTACCACGGGATCTTTAGAATAATCCTCATCATCCCCGTCGTCTTTCACTAACACGAGCTCGAATGTGAATGTGCTACCCGGGTAGTTTAGTTGGTTTTGTGGTGGAGCTGGAAGGACTCCAAGTACATTTGAAACGCCTCCTTGACCACCGGGCCACACTGGACCTTGTGGTATTCCAGGGTATCCTCCTTGTATTCCAGGGTATCCTCCTTGTACTCCAGGGTATCCTCCTTGTCCAGGCCACACTGGACCAGGACCTCCAATTCCTGGCTGGCCACCACCATAGCCTTGATTCCAGCCTGGATTACCACCACCGACTCCAGGTTGGCCAACGCCGTAGCCTTGATTCCAGCCTGGGTTACCACCACCGACTCCACCGCCACCGCCGCCGCCACCGCCACCACCACCGCCGCCGCCACCACCGCCGCCTCCTTGTCCTGAGTTTAACTCATCGGGTTTACCATCAATTTTATCGACTGGAATGGCGTGAAGAACAGCCAGGGAAAGGATCAGGATCTGTAAACTCCGCATAACTGCCATGACAACGACAGAATTGATGCAAGAAATGATTTGATGATCTGCTGGTTCAGTGAAAACAGGCTGTTTTCTTAATCCACACGTAGCCAAAACAATTCCGGACTCGGTCAAAACAATGCTTGTTTAACCTTTGTTCGGGTGGGAAGTCAAAACATTTTGAAACTTTCGACTGCTGCAACTAATATTCCAAGTGTTAAAACAACCATCTGCAGAAAAATTGTTCAAATGTACTAAGATTAGAATCAGAGAAATGAGAAACGCAATTCAAATCAAAGCATAAAATAGCTTTACTTTGCATAAAAATTAAAATGGCTTTACTTTTACTTGCGAATGCGAACTTAAAGTTTGCAAAATAAACAGATTGAAATAAAATGTACTAAACAACAAACCTATCATATTTTTATGTGCGCACATCGTGCTGTAAGCTTTGCTCTATAACTATTCGTTAATCGGTTCCCGTTTCACTTTATAGGCGGTACTGGTAGCAGACCCACCATTTTGAATTAAATTGCTGTTCTAAAAATTTTGAAGTTACATAATATTATCTCTCCGAGATTGGCAACATGGCAGATAACAACTACCCCTGCAGGCACATGGTCAGTAGACGGGACCCACTTTATGGGAGCCGACGAATGTGAGCAGTGCTGGGAAGGTCAATACAACAACCAGGAAGCTAACATAGCGTGTGACATGTGCCCTGCCGGTACCTTTTCCCCTGATGTAGGATACTGGGAGTGTGAGAAGTGCCCCCCAGGTCAGATCACTACGGAGAGTGAGAACTGGGAGTGTTTCCCCTGTGGGAGAGGTCAGCACAGTCCGGGAGAGGGTGGTACTACTTGTTTGGACTGTCCTAAAGGAGGATACCAGGTATTTGTTGGGGCAGTCAGACGTAGTTTACAAATCAAGTCACGATTAGTGCCCTGTGACGTCACGATTAGTGCCCTGTGACGTCACGATCAGTGCCCTGTGACGTCACGATTAGTGCCCTGTGACGTCACGATTAGTGCCCTGTGACGTCACGATTAGTGCCCTGTTACGTCACGATTAGTGCCCTGTGACGTCACGATCAGTGCCCTGTGACGTCAGTTTACAGTTGAGTAACCAACATTTGTAACCAGCATTTCTACAAAAACCAGACCCCTGACATTAACATCTCCAGGACGAAGAGGGAGCAGGTACCTGTAAACTATGCCCTGCTGGTACCTCCTCTGCAGAGGCTGCCGTTGAGGCTGCTGACTGTGCAGCCTGTCCTGCCGGCTCCTACTCCCCGGTTGAGGGGTCGGACTGTCTGCTCTGTCCGGTAGAGACGTACGGAGATGTGTCCGGAGCTTCCTCCTGCAAGAGCTGTCCTTCTAACACTGATCACGAAGGTTATTATTAATTAGCTGTGTATATTACTCTGTCATCATTTTAATTTGAGGTGACGAATTAATAAGTTAGAATTTTAGTTAGTGTACTGACTATTTGTTGCACATTTTAACGAATAATGAAAACGGTTTGAATTTGTAACTTATAGCGTATGTTCTGTATTACATTTTCAATTTGAGATACAAATTGAACTTCACATTAAATATTTCTGTAATATGTCACGTATCAAGCCCCTTGTAACACAGCAACTAAATACAACTCACCAGGTGCGACAGAGTGTGGTGCTGCCTCGTGTCCTGAGGGGGAAGTCAGTGTGGATGGAATATGTACACCTTGTCCAGCTGGATCTTTCGCTGAAAATGGTGAGTGGCCACAATCAGATTTCGTTTATAACGCCAATTGCTAATGCTTTTGTTCGAGTTGCCATATCTCTCTTCATCGATAGCAGCTCAAACTGCGACGGACTGTCAGTTTTCAGGATGTTGAAATAAACCACTGCACTGGTGTTTTATAATTTTACCTGCAGAAGCAGAGACCTGTTCGAAATGTGCTAAAGGGGAGTACAGTGACGTTACTGGAGCCAGCAGCTGCAACAAGTGCCCTGTAAAAACTTACGGGGATGTTGAAGGTATGATGTGTTTAATTAGATTACACAGTTGTCATTTTTTATTTTAGTTTTGGGGCCTTTATAACGCCAATCAAAGCTAATTCTCAGGTTCTCGTAAGCCAATTTCGAACAAATTGTAATCTTATCATAGTACTACCAATCTACCATACATGGTACAATCTATACATCGTACAATCTATACATAGTACAATATACCTTTTGATTTGTTTGGAGAGGCGAATCATACACAGTTTAGGCTCTTGAAATCTTCGAATTAAAAATCATCTTGAGAGAACCTCCTGAATAGAAATAAGTTAGGCTCATATTTAGGTAGAAACAAAACAGACTTAAAAACAAGAATCCCAAAAAATTTGTATGTATGGAAAAAAATCTTTTAATTTTAATTTAAATAAAATTTAACGGGACACCAATCATAATAAAACAAAAATACTGACAAAAATTACGGAAGGCAAATAAATTACACAACAAAAATAACTAAACTTATCATCTTATAACTTTTATTCTATTAATCCCCAAAATATTAGTTCTGAATATAGAAATTAATCGATGCTCTTCTCTATCAAGTTCTATTGCTGGACATTTCTTGACAAATGCAACTTTAAAATTAATAAGACTCATGGATTCCGGGTGTTCATATATATATAATAACAATATATACATAATACAATCTACTATACAATAATGTCGTTTCAACCCGAATAGGACTGTCGGTATGTAAGCCGTGCGAAAGTAACGACCAGGAAGGAATGACCGAGTGTGAGAAGGTGGAGTGCCCTGAGGGTCAGGTTCTGAAGGAGGGAGAATGTGTGCCCTGTTCTGCTGGAGAGTACGAGTTTGAGGATGAGTGCCTACCTTGTGCTGCTGGAACGTTCTCTGATAAACCAGGTACTTTTTATTAGGTGTAGTTTTGATTAGCAAACTGGGCTGTAGCCGAGTGTAGTAAGAAAAACTTGGTTCTTGTGTTTATATAATTCTTAGTCCTGACTATCATACCGGTCTTTAGTTAATTTCCATGGTTCATCCTAGTTAACAAGACTCTTACTGCAATTCTACTGAATTACTTTGTTATAAATCTGGACAAAACAATAACTTACATGCACACCATTCCCCAGGTTCCACAACCTGTTCCCTCTGTATCCCCGGTCATTACAGTAACCAGGGAGCTGTGCAGTGTGTCCAGTGTTCAGTTGGCCAGTACCAGGATAAGAGTGGCCAGAGTTACTGTGAGGCATGTGCAGCTGGTTACTATGGAGCTGCTACTGCTGCCAGTAGTTGTATTAAGTGTCACGCTGGCTTCTTTAATAATCAGGAGGTGCGTCTTGTTTAATTATTTAACCAAGGTGATGATGCGTGAAGAGGGTTTAAAGTTTGGTTTCTGATGAGATGAATGTGAAATTACAGAAGGTTCAATACTTTTGTAGCTAACCCCTTGAATCTTGATAGCGAGCACTTTACTCCTCTATCACAGGGCCAGGTGTCGTGTGAGCAGTGTCCCGCTGGAACTATTTCAGAGATCCAGGGTCAGCTCTCCTGCCAGGTGGGATGAGGATTGTTACATTTTCTTGAAAAGAATGTATTGTTAGAGAAAAAAGGCACAGTACTTTGTGAAAAACTGTTTTTATTATTTTATAACCTATTTTTTAATAGTTTATAAAATAGCACATTAAAAATAGTAAATTAAACTTACCTTAAAAAGTAAACCATTATTTATAAGCACAAATGAACATCACGTTAACTCCAGGAATGTGATGCAGGAAGCTACTCCATAACCACGTCCCACTGTGAAGACTGCCCTGTGGGTCACTTCTCCGACGATAAAGCAGCCTCGTGTGACCCCTGCTTCCCTGGTTCCTACACCCCCTACACAGGGTCCGCTATGTGCAGACCCGCCCCAGCTGGTCACTACGTGGACTCACAGGGAGCTTCTGAAGCTGTGGTGTGCACTGCTGGAGGGTACTGCCCTGAGGGGTCTGTAGCTCCGACAGACTGCCCTGCTGGTCATTACTGTGAGGAGGGTGTGGCTGTTCCGGCACCTTGTCCTGCTGGTACTTACAGTGACCTGGTGGCACTGGTGGAGATGGAGCAGTGTATTCAGTGTCTGGCTGGAAAATACTGTGAACAAAGTGAGTAGACCTGAACTTTCAGCTTCAGTATTATTTAGATTTCATCCATAACACTTGCAAGAAATACACTCAACCGTAAAATTGTTGGCATTGTTTTCAAAGTTTAAACAAACAGACCAGTTTCCTGCTATCTCAATGACATCCTATTTAATATATCAGGTGGATCAAGTGAGCCTACTGGAGACTGCAGTGCTGGTTATTATTGTCCCTCTGGTAGTTCTTCTTCAGAGCAGGTTAGTAACTACCTACCATTACCAAAGGAATCCATCCAATCATTGAGCAATGCTACTTTAAGCACCAAAAGGGGCTCATTAAATTACAACCATATAAATTCTAAAACGATTGAGTAACATATTTTAAAACCTCTAGTTAGCCCTTTACTAAAAGAAGCTCTTCCTTACAGGAATTGAGTCCAGCTGGACACTACTGTCCTTCTGGAGCTGCTACACCCACACCGTGTCCTAAGAACACATACGGTGATATAACAGGGCTTCAGTCTTATGATCAGTGTGCACCGTGTCCCCAAGGACAGGTAATTTGTTTTTTGATTTACTCACCCTTTAGATTTTATATTTTTATCCAAGTATCGGAAGCCATTTTTAGAAGTACAAACGAATGTTTGTATTTTTTACAAGTTTTACAATCATATTGTCTATAAGGCAGCATCTCCTCTACTGAGAACAGCACTAAAATCAGTGCACTTTAAACATTTGAAGAGAAATGAAAATGAGGTAGCGATGTAGCACAGCAATTCAGATATGAACATTGATCGCATGGATTACAATTTATTATAAATTGTTTGGCTCGTGGACGATTCTTTCATTCTCAGCATACAACAAAAAAAATTAAATAGCATAATCAGATTCTGGATCCCCTAAACGCATCCAAATAATTAAAACCAGCTGTTTTATATCCGCAAGAAAATTTAAAAAAGCCTTGTAAAGTATCCTAATAGTTCGGCACAGAAGTTCACCGTATATGGGACATTGTGGGACTCAATCGGACTCAACGTGATAATGATATATTGACAATACGTTTTTTCTGTAGTTCAAAATACCATGTTTTGATCCCAACCTGATCAATGACAGTCTGTTCATCAAGTCGAAGTATTTGTCTCCAATTCGGTAGTGCACTCAGAGACTCCATCCAATCTCGAGACCACGGTTGTTTCACTTTCTCCTACTTTCCCAAGATCTTCAATTGCCGTCTTTTTCTGATGCCTTCTTTTCCTCAATAACATCAGTATCACCAGTAGCATCACCGCAATTGTTGTGCTGACAATACCCACTGTTAGGAACAAATGGCACAAATCCTCTTTTCTGTTTTCTTTGTTTCTGACTCGACCTGGCTTCGTTAAGATTATCCGTGTACATGGTTGAGGTTTTGCGTCTTCGGAACAACCTACAGTTTGCATTGATGTGTAATTACGGTTTTTCACTCCGTAACCCTGGTCGCACTGTATCTCTACTTGGTATCCTGGAAGAATAAAGGGGACATTTTCTTTGTTTCTTATAACTCCGTGTGGGGTAGAGAACTGGGACAGAGAACAGGATAATTGTAATTCTTGCTGGTAGAAAGAGGGCTCTCTAAATGAAACTGCATGAAGTGATTTGGTTAACTTGGCCCAGCCTGTTCCAGTGAAAAGTATGTTTAAACTCTTCTCATCTCCAATTGTCGAATAGATCGAGTACTGGTTCAGGTCGTTCAGGATTGGTCTTGAAGTTTCATTTGTCACGAAAATCAACTGCCGATCCTCTTTTTCGTGTAAAATTATTCGACAAGTCGATAATATTGCCGTGTTCATTCCGTTCTTAGCAACAAGGACATCTAACACAGTTCCAGTTCATCAGCTGGAGAGATTTGATAAAGATCGACTCCCTCCAATTTAAAGCCTTTCAGAAACCATTTGCTTCCTTCCTCGCATGGTCTCCATATCAAACTGTAGCTGACATCTTCTGTTTCTAAGGATTTGCCTTTCGCCAGACAAGTTGTCGGTACCATTGCTTTTTCAATCAGAAACCCTACCCCAGAAAGGCTGAGAAATACTATATCATGTATACTAGCTCCTGCAAATGTTTTCTTTGAAAGTTCCATGCACTGCATTTCAAGTGTGACGGAAAAGCCTTTCTCAACTTCACGGTTGCTCAAGATGCTATCTCTTTTGAATAAGGAGCAAGTACTGCTCAAAATGTCGAAGGAGAGACTATGGCATTTGAAGTTATATTTGCAATACAACCAGCATTGAAGTGCTCCTGTTGTAATGAACGTATTTAAATGACCTTCATCGGGGTCTTTCTCGACATCAGTCGTAAAGCAGAGTAAAACATCAACATTTTCATCATATTTATTGGGTGGTCGAAGAGCATTTGGTGGGGAGGAATCCGGTTTGAGAGGAACATCTGAAGGGATGTTACCCCAAGCTTGTACTGTAATCACTTTCATAAGGAATGTGGCTACAAGTGCGGTCAACATGTCTGCAAAGAATAAAATTAATATACTTTTTTCGCCTCGGATATCGTTATTAACTTATTAAAGAGTTTATAAATAAACTTTATCAACTGAGTATTATAGCAATAATTTATAGTGAATATTATTTAATAAAAAAATATTGTTTAATAAAAAAATATTATTGAATGATATTGCCGTCGACGATAAAATATTTTCTGCACAAACCAAACTCTGTAAAGCTGTAAGCCCAAAGACCAACATGTAACAGTAAATAACAACATAAATATGATTCAAAAATAGAACTCTCCCCACTGGTATTATATAGCGATACTTTCAAAGCTCCTGATGCAAATAACCCTTTATGTATTCTTGATGGTGTGCAGTGGTGTAACAATGGGTGCTAACATAAAATGTTACGCCACTGATCACGTGACCGCTAACGAGCCATGTGACCAGTCATGTGACAAGCCATGTGACAAGACATGTGACCAGCAGAAGAATATATTACGGCCTTTGACTTGACACGATACTCTATAAAAAAGTTATTAATATTGCAGTATAATATCAACATTTTTAGGTCTTGTACAGTAAACATAAACCTCCGATGTATTTATAGATATAATGAAAGCAATATCAATAATAAATATAACATTTTAAAAATTCAGATGAGTGAAAAGTAATTTTTGTCAATATTTTTTCTCACTGTGAAATTATCAACTGTAAGGTTTAAACATTTTTTGAGCTCTGTGAAGCTGATTGAGATTATGCTTCCATTTTTTGACCGTCATTGCTTTGGGACACTAATGCGGAGAGGTACCATACCATGGAGAGGTATGTTAGTATGTTACAATTTATGATAAATTGTTCGGCTCGTGGATGATTCTTTAATTCTCAGCTTAACAACAAAATAAATTAAATAGCATAATCAGATTCTGGATCCCCTTAACGCATCCAAGCTATTACAACCAGCGTTGTTCAATCCGCAAGCAAATTAAAAAAGAAGCCTTGTCCAGTAATTTAGTTCGGCACAAAGGTTCAGCGTGTATGGGACATTGTGGGACTATTTTTACTTTTCTCTGTAGTTCAAAATATCACGTTTTGATCCCAACCTGATCAATGACAGTCCGTTCATCAAGTCGAAGTATTTGTCTCCAAATCGGTAGTGCACTCAGAGACTCCATCCAATCTCGAGACCACGGTTGTTTTACTTTCTCCTACTTTCCCAAGATCTTCAATTTCCGCCTTTTTCTGATGCCTTCTTTTCCTCAATAACATCACCAGTACCATCACAGCAATTATTGTGCTGACAATCCCCACTGTTAGGAACAAATGGCACAAATCCTCTTTTCCGTTTTCTTTGTTTCTGACTCGACCTGGCTTCGTTAAGATTATCCGTGTGCATGGTTGAGGTTTTGCGTCTTCGGAACAAACTACAGTTTGCATTGATGTGTAATTACGGTTTTTCACTCCGTAACCCTGGTCGCACTGTATCTCTACTTGGTATCCTGGAAGAACAAAGGGGACATTTTCTTTGTTTCTTATAACTCCGTGTGGAGTAAAGAACTGGGACAGAGAACAGGATAATTGTAATTCTTGTTGGTAGAAAGAGGGCTCTCTAAACGATAATCCGAAAAGTGATTTGTATGACTTGGTCCAGTCTGTTCCAGTGAAAAGTATGTCGAAACTCTTCTCATCTCCAGTTGTTGAATAGATCGAGTACTGGTTCAGGTCTGGTCTTGAAGTTTCATTTGTCACGAAAATCAACTGCCGATCCTCTTTTTCGTGTAAAATTCTTCTACAAGTTGATAATATTGCCATGTTCACTCCGTTCTCAGCAACGAGAACATCTAGACACAAGTCCAACTCATCTGCTGGAGAGATTTGATAAAGATCGACTCCCTCCACTTTTATAAACTCTCGACGTTCTGGTTCCTTCAGAACCCATTTGCTTCCCTCCGTGCAAGGTTTCCATCTCAAACAGTAGCTAATGTCATCTTCTGGCCTCGTTTTTAGAGATTTGCCTTTCGCCAGGCAAGTTATCTGAACTAATGCTTGCTCTATCAGAAACCCTACCCCAGACATGCTGAGAAGTATAATATCTGTTATACTAGCTCCTGCAAATATTTTCTTTGAAAGTTCCATGCACTGCTTTTCAAGTGTGACGGAAAAGCCTTTCTCAACTTCACGATTGCTCAAGATGCTATCTCTTTTGAATAAGGAGCAAGTACTGCTCAAAATTTCGAAGGAAATACTATGGCATTTGAAGTTATATTTGCAATACAACCAGCATTGAAGTGCTCCTGTTGTAATGAACGTATTTAAATGACTTTTATCGGGGTCTTTCGCGAGGTCATTTCTAAAGCATTCTATAACATCCGACTTTTCATTATTGGCTGGCTGAGAAGCATTTTGCGGGGAAGAATCCGGTTTGAGAGGAACATCTGAAGGAATGTTACCCCAAGCTTGTACTGTAATCACTTTCATAAGAAATGTGGCTACAAGTGCGGTCGACATATCTGCAAAGAATAAATAATTATATACTTTTTTCCCCTCAGATATCATTACTAACTTATGAACGAGTTTATGAATAAACTTTATAAAATGAGTATTATAGCAATAATTTATAATGAATATTAATTATTTAATAAAAAAATATTGTTTAATAAAAAATATTATTGAATTATATTGCCGTCGACGATAAAGTATTTTCTGCACAAACCCAACTCTGTAAGTTCAAAGACCAACATGTAACAGTAAATATAAATAACAACATAAATAAGATTCAAAAATGGAATTCTCCCCACTATATAGCGATACTTTCTAAGCTCTTGACGTAAATAGCCCTTTATGTATTCTTGACAAGCCATGTAGAATTTACTCGCCTCGGATACCATTACTAACAACTTCATAAATATAATAGTAACTGCTATAGAAATAATTTGTATCTAATGAAATATGTACATGTATTATTTTCGTCGACGGAATTATCCTGCTGTACAAAGCCAACTTTGTCAGCCCAGACACCATTAGGAAATATAAAGATAATTGGAAAACATGTTTGAAGAAATGGATTTTAGCAATGAAGATTGAGAAATGTTAATTTTGACTGCAAGAGTGCAAGGGGCGACTATCGTGCATTTAGACTTAGCAAACAGTCTAAAATATGTACTTTAGTAAACTTAATCTAACTACACTACAAATAATTTATAAGCTGTAGACAGCGAAAATCTTTGAAAGTTTTGAAATTTTATCTTTTTGAAAAAATAAATTTTTATCATTGCGCACAATTCTACTTAAAAACGTGAATGTGCAGATAGAATTTTTGTTTACACATATATGCTATGGGAGTTACTAAGGGGGTTGCTATGGGGGTTAAGGAGCGGCAGCCCTCAGCTTCCCCTGAATAAGGAGGGACGGGGATTGCATCTAAACTGCGCACTATGGGGGTTGCTAAGAGGGTTGCTATGGGGGTTAAGGAGCGCCAGCCCTCAGCTTCCCCTGAATAAGGAGGGACGGGGATTGCATCTAAACTGCGCACTATGGGGGTTGCTAAGAGGGTTGCTATGGGGGTTAAGGAGCGCCAGCCCTCAGCTTCCCCTGAATAAGGAGGGACGGGGATTGCATCTAAACTGCGCACTATGGGGGTTGCTAAGAGGGTTGCTATGGGGGTTAAGGAGCGCCAGCCCTCAGCTTCCCCTGAATAAGGAGGGACGGGGATTGCATCTAAACTGCGCACTAAAGTGGGCTGGAAGCCAATTCTACCCTCAAAACAAAAGCCCACAAAATATGAAAATATTTGTATGTATTGGTTTTTAATATTTTCAAAACATTAACTCAAGCTTCGAGCTCACGCAAATAAGGAGTTCTTTTGTGTGAGTATTTACCTCTGTAAAGATGGCTAACGTCATAAAATCACAATGTTGGTCTGAACCTCAAGATCACATGATCAAAAACAACAAAGACGCTAGGTTCAACTAAAATGGCTATTGTCTCCAAAGCTTCTGACAATGACTTTAAATGGCCCAGAGGTATTTTAGGACGCTAATTCCGAATCACCCCCATGACATAGGGTAAAAATAGTTATCTGAGGAGTTGTATTTGAGCAAAAACTTATTTTCGTAAGACGCGTGCTCGTGACACTGACAGGCTTGTAAAATGTTATTTCTACTGTTTAGGTGTTAAAGTTAGTGTTGGGGTTATAAAAGTGTGAGTTTAAGCACAAATATTTGTACCTAAACTGTTAACACTTGCCGTAAAAACGAGATATTTAACGGATAGGTCCAAATCTAATCGCGCCCCTTTAAATTCAATAGTTGTATGAATATTCCATACCTCCTGTTTCAATACAGACCGTTAAAATGATCCCTCCAATTAAATTATCTGTCCTTATCCATTCAATAATTACGGCCATTGACCCGAATTTTAGTTGTCCCTTTAGGAATTTGCATTCGGATAAATGCTAAAGCCCCTCCACGCTGATGTAATAATAATACGTCACATAAAAGTGACTTTCATGTTTTCAGAACCACCCTCCAATAATATTGCTTTTTTCAGGAGACATTTGAAGAAGGCTCGACCTCGCTAGATCAGTGTAAAGAGGTAAACTGTAGTCCTGGTTACTACAAAGACCACCACAAAGGCTGTCAGATTTGTCCTAAAGGTCAGAATACTAACTAGCATATATAATTATACATAATTTTATACTAGTGTATACATAATTGACGGCACCCATCTGGGCTTTTAAAACCAATATCTTATTATAACATTATTATTCCTCTGAAAGTTAGATTCCTGCTAACCTGAGCCTGCATAATTTTGTGCAACATTACCTTATATGGTAGTGTTACCATGGTAGCATTACCTTATATGGTAGTGTTACTATGGTAACATTACCCTATATGGTAGTGTTACCATGGTAACATTACCTTATATGGACCGTGTTGTGCAAGGTGACCACTCTGTGTTCCTATAACATATACCACCTACATGCACTTTTTTTGTGTTCATTGAGTTTCTTTAATCCATATATTTTAGTGATATGTACTGTATATGCTAAACTTTTTATAATTTCTAATTTCTAAAATATTCTACCTCTCAGGAACGTACAGTGAAGAAGAGAACGCAGCCACGTGCACAAAATGCCCCGTGCATCAGTACAATTCTGTTGAGGGCTCGGTACAGTGCATGAAATGCCCTGACACTGCCTTTACCTGGTCAGAGGGTACTGACTCTTTTAGCGGCTGTATCGGACCTGTTATTGAGGTTAGTACTTAATCTGTAATGCTGTATAATCGAGCTTAAGCTTTCCTGTAATGTACTTTATCGGCTGTTGTTTTTTAAGTTTAACCCTTGTTTCCTCGTTCAAGAAATCAGATTTTGTCCAATTCTGATTAGTCCAACTAATTTTCTTTAGTTTCGAGAATCTGTTCTTAAATCCACTCTAACTTGCAGGCGTGTAGTGGGGAGGATATGACTGGAACTTGTGACCGTTACTATGACGACAACCTTAATGTGACCTCTAGAATACTCTCTGTTCAAGTTATCAAGGGAGAGTTTGAACTTTTCAATATTACTAATCACAGGTAACAATATACACTATACACTATACACTATAGATAGTACATTATACAATATACACAATATACTATACACAATACACTAGTATACCTCACTAGTATACATTGAATTCTCATAAATCTTCGGCGGGATTTACTTGTTGAATTTCATTTATGTCAGCACAATCGGTTATATTGCAGCCCAACATGACCAATGTTCTATTCTAGTGTGAACGCACCCGAATATAAAGATACTAGTGAAAAGGAAGTTCCCTGTGCAATTTGGAGTATTCACAAACTTTCACACAAGAACCCGCAGCGTTGAATTTTCCTTACCAGAAAAACTTATCGTTGGATTGCATCACTCTCATTAATAATTAATATTAAACCACAGGGGCTACTTCACTAAACTGACAGAAACAGACGGGCCAATGAATGTAGCTGATATTGAGAGCATCGGTGTTCTCAGGTCCTTCTCTCCTTTGATAAACGACGTGTTTTGCAGTTTAGATCAGGGATGGAAGTTCCATGGTTCTATCAGGAGTACCTCTAAATCTGGCAAGGTTTGATCATCAAGACCACCTCTACACTTACAGTCTACATCCGGCAATGTTTGATTATCAGAATTTACAAAATATAGATATGAAATGCGTTTGATAACAAGCACAATGTCAAGAAAAGTTCGGTTCGAACTTCGAATGAAACTAACTCAAAAATATAAAGTCAACAAAGATGAGCTGACATTAACATTTAACATGGTTCAGGCCTGTATAAACTGGAAGAGAACTCCTCTTGCAGATAAAGCAGCTCCAAACCATTACTGTCAGAACCCGGACGGAACTGATCTCGCGGATAAACCCTTCTGTTACATCAGGTGATCAATCATAGGACAGATCGCTACATTTTTAATTTACATAACTTATCTGATAAGTTCAGCGATAAGTAACAGGAGAAATCATATTTATCAGAATTAAACCCCCTTACTCTAAGTCTAAACTGAAACCCACCCAGCGAGACAGAAACTGAAGAATGCGACATTCCCACCTGTATCTGGAACATGGACTGTTTCACGGGTATAGGGGCCCAGTACCGGGGCAAGCAAGCTACCACCGACCACAACAAGAACTGCAATAACTGGAACAGTGACTTTCCTCACCCGCACGGTTACCACTCTCCGGAGTACAACTGGGCTGGGGTTGGGGACCACAGGTATTACTTTAGTTCATAGTTCATTCAGTTACTAGGTAACTAGTTACCTAGTTACCTAGTTACCTAGTTACCTAGTTACCTAGTTTTACATAGTTACCTAGTTACCACTCCCCTGAGTACAACTGGGCTGGGGTTGGGGACCACAGGTATTACTTTAGTTAATACCTTATCGGACCTTATTTGGACGGACATTACATGAACGGACATAATTATGAACGGACATTAATATGAACGCTCGAAGGCATTCAAAACCATCAAAAATCCGAATTTTTTTAAACGTTTTTTTGACGTTTTTTAAATTTCAGCAAATGATTTTTAAATCCATTTTTTATACAGTAAGTAAAAAAAGCAGTCATTAAGCAGTAAAAATGTTTAAAAATGTGTACCTTACTCGGGATTATTACGACGGGTTTATTAACGACCGGTTAAAATATGGTTCGGGAAAAATATGGCGAAATTGCTCAAAACCCACCACATTTTCCCGGTCGCCATTTTACCGGTGTCCAACCTTTCAATTTTAGATTCAAAAATTTTGTCTCAGATGTAAATTTCCTTATTAGAGATAAGCAAGTTTAGAAATATTCGCATTGCTAAAACTTGTGAAACAAGTCGAATTATCAATAATTGTTGAAAGTAGACAGAAATAATGACTCGTGGTTAATCAAACTAGATGGAAAATAATTTTTAACATTTGAAGCGTAACAACCAGATCGATATTAAGATAAAGGGAGAGCTGTTTAGTCTTCCAATAAGTTGTAATCATCTTCGTTATCTTCATCTGGATCATCCCTTTCATCAGTTTTAATTAATTCAAGTTTTAATTTAACTGTTACTTTTACTTTGAGTCCTATTTCATTATGTAGAGATAGTCAATACCTAAGAAATTAAAAATTGGCCTATTTAAATCAAATTCGACAATAAGGATATATGACAAGAATTGGGCAAAAAGGTGAATTTTTATGCAATTTTAGCCAAATGAAGTCGAAAAACCTACAACAAGTGTCCCAATAGTCTTCTTTAGCGAATATAAGACAACGATTAAAATATGAGCACCCATACCCCTTGGGAACCCTAAAAGCTGAGTAGGCGGGTTTATTAACGACCGGTGAAAATGTGGTTCGGGAAAAATATGGCGAAATTACCCTAAACCCACCACTTTATCCCGGTCATAATAATCCCGAGTAAGGTACATGATCAGTGTCTAATATCACATATCATCTTCATCAAATGGGTTTTCGTGCATGAAATAGCCCATGCTTAAAGCATCAGTGATTTCTAGCTTTATGGAAACCTTTTTTTATCAAACTACCCCGGTCCTGCATTTCAGTGTTAACTTTTACAAGCCATTATTTCGGCGTGATTAAGTGGTTTTATCTTAGACAACTTAAGGTTAACCTTAACATCACGTGGAGCTTTCCTAGCACTGTTCATTACCGCCCCCGAGTAATATGAACTATAACAACGTCGGACGATGTCCTTGGCAACACGATTTACCGTAATATCTAGAGGCTGGAACAAGTTTGTCATGTTGGCGGGGACTAGTTCATGAACTATGTTGTTGAGGGCCATAATTTCGTTGACTTTTTTCCGCCAAGTGACCCTTGAAAATATCATATACTAGTAGTAGTAGTAGTAGAGTTTTCTGTGCCTCCAGCAGACCAAGGAGAACCTTTCCGTCGTTAACTTACGGCACAATAAAGTTCTCAAAGTTGTCATATTCTGGACAAAAAGTTCGAAATGGAAAAACTTTTGAAAAAATTTCAACGGACTTTAACTTGGACGGACATTAATTGAACGGACTTTATTTGAACGGACATTAAGATGAACGCTAGGGCCTCCAGCGTTCAAGTAATGTCCGTCCAAATAAGGTCCGATAAGGTAGTTCCTTTAGTTATGATCGGGTTGTGCCTTGTGGTCATAGTTTATTTCATTTTAATGTAAGTTAAATTTTTTTGATAAGTATATCTTTTTGGTCTGGCATATATTAAGTTACTGCTGACTGCTGAAGTAGGGAGCTTATGTCCAATAATTATTTCAGGTTCTGTCGGAACCCATCCGAGGAAGGGAAGCCATGGTGCTACACCACTAACCTTCTCTGGAGGTGAGTCTTACCTAGTTACCTAGTTACCTAGTTACCTAGTTACCTAGTTACCTAGTTACCTGGTTACCTAGTTACCTAGTTACCTAGTTACCTAGTTACCTAGTTACCTAGTTACCTAGTTACCTAGTTACCTAGTTACCTAGTTACCTAGTTACCTAGTTACCTAGTTACCTGGTTACCTAGTTACCTAGTTACCTAGTTACCTAGTTACCTAGTTACCTAGTTACCTAGTTACCTAGTTACCTAGTTACCTAGTTACCTAGTTACCTAGTTACCTAGTTACCTGGTTACCTAGTTACCTAGTTACCTAGTTACCTAGTTACCTAGTTACCTAGTTACCTAGTTACCTAGTTACCTAGTTACCTAGTTACCTAGTTACCTAGTTACCTAGTTACCTTCTAGTTACCTAGTTACCTAGTTACCTAGTTACCTAGTTACCTAGTTACCTAGTTACCTAGTTACCTAGTTACCTAGTTACCTAGTTACCTAGTTACCTAGTTACCTAGTTACCTATTTACCTAGTTACCTATTTACCTAGTTACCTATTTACCATCCGAGGAAGGGAAGCCATGGTGCTACACCACTAACCTTCTCTGGAGGTGAGCCAGACCTCTGCGACTTGTAGATAACACCACCATAAAGAGCCACCATTGTAAAACCACCAACATTGAAACTTGAACTGGAACTGAAACTACACGAGATCTAATTGACTAATGACATTTCAGGTGGGACTACTGCACTATTGCCAGGTGTAGCCGGGACAGCTTCGACTTTTACCGGTTCTAGCTGCGGGTTAACAGATCGAGTTTCGACTTCTCAATCAGTTCACAATTAATGATTTACTTGTTTTTACGTTGGTGATTTATTGATGAGTCGTTATTTGTAATCAAGCTGGTAACAAATCTTTACTTGACTTATTATATTGACTAAAAACTCTATTTCTATAATAATTAGACTAAAGTAATACTAATGCTAATGTTAGTAATATTAATGCTAGTAGTCAATAACAACATCGTGCTTATTATTGAAAGAAAATTCACTTTACATAAACAAAAGTTAAAATATGTAATGTTACAAATATTATCACTAGTTTATCATTTGGGAGGGTGTCTGGTTCCGCCGCTACCGTGTCCATTTAAAAATAAGTACCATATGATCCACCCGCTTGTTATATCCGTAGTGTTTATAGTACCGCCGTCCTAGTCACCGTTCAGTTCTTATGGGGGTTGGCACCTATATGTAAGACTCTTTTTTAATTCTGGAACTTGACGAATATAATGTATACAGCTGTTACCTCTTTACGCCAAATCGTCGTACCTCCTTTTAAAAAGAAGAACAGCATCAAAACAGAAAATAAATCCCACCCTCTTCTTCAAAGCAGACTAGGTAAGTGGGAGAAGCAGGCTAGGTAAGTGGGAGAAGCAGGCTAGGTAAGTGGGAGAAGCAGGCTAGGTAAGTGGGAGAAGCAGGCTAGGTAAGTGGGAGAAGCAGGCTAGGTAAGTGGGAGAAGCAGGCTTGGTAAGTGGGAGAAGCAGGCTAGGTAAGTGGGAGAAGCAGGCTAGGTAAGTGGGAGAAGCAGGCTAGGTAAGTGGGAGGGTATAGTGGGATAAATGATAAACCACATCGTCATCCAAAAAGCCGGACCCTAGAGTTGTCTCCTCCTAATGATGGTGCGGCTTCTCGAATACTGCATAGACCACTACAAGTACATGATACCAGGCCAGCGTTTAAAGTGAGTAAATCACTTATAGATAATACACCAGTTATAACACTGTACAATGTAGTGTGTACAGATAAGAGAGCGATCAGGTAATGAAACTACACAAGCTTTATAAGGCCTAATCGCTGCTTGCCTCTCACAAGTAATCTCTTGCTGCAGTTCTTATACCTGCTTTACATCGGGTATCCTCGTAGGGTATCCTTCGTAGTGTATACTTCGTAGTTCGTAGTTTATCCCTCGTAGTGTATCCTTCGTAAATCGTAGTGTATCTTTCGTAATGTATCTTTCGTAGTGCATCCTTCGTAGTGTATCTTTCGTCGTGTATTCTTCGTAGTGTATCCTTCGTAGTGTATCTTTCGTAGTGTATCCTTCGTAGGGTATCCTTCGTAGTGTATCCTTCGTAGTGTATCCTTCGTAGTGTATCCTTCGTAATGTATCTTACGTCGTGTATTCTTCGTAGTGTATCCCTCGTAGTGTATCCTTCGTAGTATATCCTTCGTAGTGTATCCTTCGTAGTATATCCTTCGTAGTGTATCCCTCGTAGAGTATCCTTCGTAGTGTATCCTTCGTAGTGTATCCTTCGTAGTGTTTCCCTCGTAGTGTATCCCTCGTAGTGTATCCTTCTTAGTGTATCATTTGTTCTGTTTGTTTTTTCATAAGATAATTCGTCCATTCAGAGATTCGTTCAGGAGTTCAAATCTTTACGAGAATGTAATTAATTCGGAGCAATACTAATGGCAGGCATCCTGGGTGTGTCAAAATCTATAATTCCTTTTCAAAACGTCACGAAAATAAGTCATAAATTAAACAACGTATTATCATAGATTTACATGGCATGCTAAGAAACATGCTAAGAAATTACTGCAGACAAATAAATTTGACTTTAATTCTGAAGCAGCAGTAGTGCTGGTCAGAGCGATGAAATTAAACAGTGTCGTTTGACTTTGTATTGGGTCCTGATTTGTGTTGAACTAAAACAGTGCAGTTTGGATTGGGTCCTGATTTGTGTTGAACTAAAACAGTGCAGCTTGGATTGGGTCCTGATTTGTGTTGAACTAAAACAGTGCAGTTTGGATTGGGTCCTGATTTGTGTTGAACTAAAACAGTGCAGTTTGGATTGGGTCCTGATTTGTGTTAAACTAAAACAGTGCAGCTTGGATTGGGTCCTGATTTGTGTTGAACTAAAACAGTGCAGCTTGGATTGGGTCCTGATTTGTGTTGAATTAAAACAGTGCAGCTTGGATTGGGTCCTGATTTGTGTTGCACTAAAACAGTACAGTTTGTACTCGATCCTGATTTGTGTTAAACTAAAACAGTGCAGTTTCGATTGGGTCCTGATTTGTGTTAAACTAAAACAGTGCAGCTTGGATTGGGTCCTGATTTGTGTTGAACTAAAACAGTGCAGCTTGGATTGGGTCCTGATTTGTGTTAAACTAAAACAGTGCAGCTTGGATTGGGTCCTGATTTGTGTTAAACTAAAACAGTGCAGCTTGTATTGGGTCCTGATTTGTGTTAAACTAAAACAGTGCAGCTTGGATTGGGTCCTGATTTGTGTTGCACTAAAACAGTGCAGCTTGGATTGGGTCCTGATTTGTGTTGAACTAAAAGTGCAGCTTGTATTGGGTCCTGATTTGTGTTGCACTAAAACAGTGCAGCTTGGATTGGGTCCTGATTTGTGTTGCACTAAAACAGTGCAGCTTGGATTGGGTCCTGATTTGTGTCGAACTAAAACAGTGCAGCTTGGATTGGGTCCTGATTTGTGTTGCACTAAAACAGTGCAGCTTGGATTGGGTCCTGATTTGTGTTAAACTAAAACAGTGCAGCTTGTATTGGGTCCTGATTTGTGTTGAACTAAAACAGTGCAGCTTGTATTGGGTCCTGATTTGTGTTGAACTAAAACAGTGCAGCTTGTATTGGGTCCTGATTTGTGTTGAACTAAAACAGTGCAGCTTGTATTGGGTCCTGATTTGTGTTGAACTAAAACAGTGCAGCTTGTATTGGGTCCTGATTTGTGTTGAACTAAAACAGTGCAGCTTGTATTGGGTCCTGATTTGTGTTGAACTAAAACAGTACAGTTTGGATTGGGTCCTGATTTGTGTTGAACTAAAACAGTGCAGCTTGGATTGGGTCCTGATTTGTGTTTAACTAAAACAGTGCAGTTTGGATTGGGTCCTGATTTGTGTTGAACTAAAACAGTGCAGTTTGGATTGGGTCCTGATTTGTGTTGAACTAAAACAGTGCAGTTTGGATTGGGTCCTGATTTGTGTTAAACTAAAACAGTGCAGCTTGGATTGGGTCCTGATTTGTGTTGAACTAAAACAGTGCAGCTTGGATTGGGTCCTGATTTGTGTTGAATTAAAACAGTGCAGCTTGGATTGGGTCCTGATTTGTGTTGCACTAAAACAGTACAGTTTGTACTCGATCCTGATTTGTGTTAAACTAAAACAGTGCAGTTTGGATTGGGTCCTGATTTGTGTTAAACTAAAACAGTGCAGCTTGGATTGGGTCCTGATTTGTGTTGAACTAAAACAGTGCAGCTTGGATTCGGTCCTGATTTGTGTTAAACTAAAACAGTGCAGCTTGGATTGGGTCCTGATTTGTGTTAAACTAAAACAGTGCAGCTTGTATTGGGTCCTGATTTGTGTTAAACTAAAACAGTGCAGCTTGGATTGGGTCCAGATTTGTGTTGCACTAAAACAGTGCAGCTTGGATTGGGTCCTGATTTGTGTTGAACTAAAAGTGCAGCTTGTATTGGGTCCTGATTTGTGTTGCACTAAAACAGTGCAGCTTGGATTGGGTCCTGATTTGTGTTGAACTAAAACAGTGCAGCTTGTATTGGGTCCTGATTTGTGTTGAACTAAAACAGTGCAGCTTGTATTGGGTCCTGATTTGTGTTGAACTAAAACAGTGCAGCTTGTATTGGGTCCTGATTTGTGTTGAACTAAAACAGTGCAGCTTGTATTGGGTCCTGATTTGTGTTGAACTAAAACAGTGCAGCTTGTATTGGGTCCTGATTTGTGTTGAACTAAAACAGTACAGTTTGGATTGGGTCCTGATTTGTGTTGAACTAAAACAGTGCAGCTTGGATTGGGTCCTGATTTGTGTTTAACTAAAACAGTGCAGTTTGGATTGGGTCCTGATTTGTGTTGAACTAAAACAGTGCAGTTTGCATTGGGTCCTGATTTGTGTTGAACTAAAACAGTGCAGCTTGGATTGGGTCCTGATTTGTGTTGAACTAAAACAGTGCAGCTCGGATTGGGTCCTGATTTGTGTTGAACTAAAACAGTGCAGCTTGGATTGGGTCCTGATTTGTGTTGAACTAAAACAGTGTCGTTTGTATTGGGTTCTGATTTGTGTTGAACTAAAACAGTGCAGCTTGGATTGGGTCCTGATTTGTGTTGAACTATAACAGTGCAGCTTGGATTGGGTCCTGATTTGTGTTGAACTAAAACAGTGCAGTTTGGATTGGGTCCTGATTTGTGTTGAACTAAAACAGTGCAGCTTGGATTGGGTCCTGATTTGTGTTGAACTAAAAGTGCAGCTTGTATTGGGTCCTGATTTGTGTTGCACTAAAACAGTGCAGCTTGGATTGGGTCCTGATTTGTGTTGCACTAAAACAGTGCAGCTTGGATTGGGTCCTGATTTGTGTCGAACTAAAACAGTGCAGCTTGGATTGGGTCCTGATTTGTGTTGCACTAAAACAGTGCAGCTTGGATTGGGTCCTGATTTGTGTTAAACTAAAACAGTGCAGCTTGTATTGGGTCCTGATTTGTGTTAAACTAAAACAGTGCAGCTTGTATTGGGTCCTGATTTGTGTTGAACTAAAACAGTGCAGCTTGTATTGGGTCCTGATTTGTGTTGAACTAAAACAGTGTCGTTTGTATTGGGTCCTGATTTGTGTTGAACTAAAATAGTGCAGCATGTATTGGGTCCTGATTTGTGTTGAACTAAAACAGTGCAGCTTGGATTGGGTCCTGATTTGTGTTGCACTAAAACAGTGCAGCTTGGATTGGGTCCTGATTTGTGTTAAACTAAAACAGTGCAGCTTGTATTGGGTCCTGATTTGTGTTGAACTAAAACAGTGCAGCTTGTATTGGGTCCTGATTTGTGTTGAACTAAAACAGTGCAGCT